ACTCACAACTCTTTGGGTTCTGTCACTGGACCAACGCCTTTATCCACTGTGCCATGTGTCCTTAAGGACATCTGCGTATGAATTTCTTGGACTCATAAACTTAATGTCTTCAGCAGCTATTTTTTACCAGTGCTCATATTGCAATTTTTGCTGTTATCATTGCATTTTTTTTTTACAAGACCTCTTATTGCAATTTTTTGTTATTATTGCTTTTCTCTGGCACTCCTTATTACTGGTTCTCATATTGTATTCATTTCTATGCTTGGTCGGCTCAGGAGATTTTTGTGGCCTAGCATACAACAGCTGAAATGTGGTGATAAATATGGCGACAAAGATGAGGACAATAGTCTGAATAATGAATAATAGTGTACATAATACCTCATCTCAGAAATATAGACAGATTCTTCCAGTTCCATATAAACTTAAATTGTACTATATTATGATTTGTTATTTGTTGTTTTATCAGCACTTTACCTCAAGTTAGTCAGTTCATTGTTCTGAAAATTGTCCAATTGTATTTTTGGTAGTATTTTGTGTTTTTAAGATTTCTTTTTTTGATTAGTCCTCTTGTTTGACCTGACTGTTAGGAAATTTTTATTTTTTTAAAAATGTCACATCTTTGCGCTTTGTTCATTTTCTTTATAATACTCCAAAATAAAAATTTCAAAAACAAAATAAATTATGAAAGGATTAAGTCTCCATATTTTTCATTTTTCCTGGTATTTGTCAATTGAATTTATCTTTTGTCAAAAATAAATATCTTAAAGATTTTGACTTTAAGAGAAATGAGCATTTATTGATTTTAGAATTGAGATGTCTTGGTTGTTTTTTAAGAGTACATATTTTTTTAATACCCTTTTTAGTTTAATTGGAGAGGAAATTAATTGATTTGTTAATAATGTGGGTTTTAATCTGAAGTAACGAGTAGTAAGTTTGTTTTTTAACAACAAATGGTTTAGTTATGTGTGCATATGTGAGTGATAAAGTAAACATTTTGAACATTTTATTATTTTTTCATAATCTTACAATATAAAACTAACCTCAAATTATTCATGGAATTGAAATTTGAACTCCATCTTCTAAGTCTATAATATTTTAATCTAAAAAAAAAGTAAATAAATAAAAAATAAATTGATTTTTAAAAAGTTTTGATAAATTATCTTCAAACTTGCTAATTGTTTCTCAAACTAAAAAGAATTTTCTGAAAATGATTTTGAATATTGTATTTGTTGATGGAAGAATTTGATTTTTATAAAACTGAGCATTTTATGCAATTGTTAGGTATTTGTGGAAATTACAACTTAAATTAGTTTTTAAAATGGCTATAAATAATTAGTTATATTTTGATATATAAAAAATGAACATAATTTTAACATAAGACCTTGTTCTGTTGATCAGTCAGATGTTTATAAAATATGTAATTTTTTATAAATTCATTAGGTATTTGTATTATCAAGTATTTATCACCATTTTAAAATTCAGTTGTTTCATAACTTTTAACTTAATGCTATCACATAATGAACTTTTATAAATTTTGCAAGTATTTTTGAATTTTCAATAATGAAGAAGATACTGTTTAAAAGAACAATTGAACAAAATATTTACATTATTTAAATGAAATTAAATTAAGTTTTATTTTAGATAAAAGCGATGAAATTTAATATATATATATATATATAAATTTATATATATATATATATATATATATATATATATATATATATAATTTATTTGAAAACTATAACAAACGTTATAAAATCACTACAAAAATAGCCATTTTGTTTCAACCCTTCTGGTGTCAAATGATAGCGTTGAATGTATTATATTTGCTTTACTCTGTATTGAGCACTGTTTTAAGAATAGTAGTTTTTGGTTATTGGAATTTATTCCATATACACCAATCATATATATAATATTATGTACATGGAATGCTATCATTTTAAACAGTAAACTCTCCCCCTAGATTAAGATAAGTCTTTTAAACATACATTCTATTTATTATTCATGTTATGGATTGGCAAAGTGAAAGTCATTGCTTTTGTTTCAAAGTTTGTTTTAAATACTTATGCAGAATTGGTAGAAATTATCTGGGAAGTGTTTTAACAGAGGAAGGAAAGTGTGACACTGAAATCAAAAGATGTATCCCAAAAGCTAAGTAGGGTATTAAAAAACAGAAAAATTTGTTAGAAACAAAAAACGAGTACTGAACTATTATGTGATATCAGTTCTCCTATATGGCAGTGAATGCTGGCCAATCTCCTCGAAGTTGAAGAAGGGACTTGAAGCAGTAAAAATATTCTTCTAAAGAAGGATACTGAGGATATGATGAACCAAACATGAAAGCAATGTTTAAGTTTTAGAGATAGTGGAAACAAAAAAGAAACTTATACTTTAACCTCAGGAAGAGACATTTTTAGGGCACATAAAGAGTGCTTGGAAAATTTGATACTCACAAGACACGTTGAAGGCAAGAGGGACAGATAAGCAACACATAAGATACTTAATGAGTAAATGGATGATGGAACAAGATTTAGGAGAAATAATGAAAAGACAGTTTATTAACAGCTATAAAAGACAGAATATTGTGGAGAGCCATGATTGTCTGTGTCCTGATGGGATATGAAGAAGATAGCAATATGTTACCAAGACATTTTAACAAACTTTAACAAAGCAATATTAGTAACCTATATATTATACTAAAGTTTTTTTTTTATTTTTATTTTATTTTTTATTTATTTTTTTATTCAGCTTAGAGTAGTACAAGATTACATTGGTTAGGAAGATTGCATTGCTCCAAGGACATAATTATGTAGTTTCCTGTGAGGATCGGATTCAATGCGACTGGGTGACTATCAATCATTTAAGATTCTCTCTATATATATATATATATATATATATATATATATATATATATATATATATATATATATATATATATTTTTATGAATTTTTCAAGCGTAGCTCAGATGTGGCACAAGGCCGAAAAGTATGGGGCACCCAGTGAGGATCAAACTCACTACTCAGTCGTAACTGTTCTAGCAAGACAAGCTTGCTAACCATTACACCACCACAAGGTGCCTATGCAAAAAGGAAAACTTATCTTAGCCAATGTGTTTTGTTCTCTGAGAGACTTTAAGGGAGTTGTAGAGGACAAAATGCATTGGCTAAAATAATTTTTCCTTTTGTTTTTATTCATCTTGTCCTTTTACAGATATATTCTATCTGAATTTTTTTACATGCATATATATATATATATATATATATTTCTAAAGGAGTAATGGATTTTTTTTATTAATCTTATAATTTTTAGTGGATACTCATTTCAGTAGACTGTTTATTTATTAAAATATTTTTTTTTTTCATCTACTGGCCTGACTATTCAAGAAAACTTGTTAAAAAAAAAAAAAAAATGCACTCTCTGGCAAGATTCAAATCTGTAACCACTTGGGCATAGGGAAACTGTCATTAGATCAGATGTGCTTTAATTGACTCGGCCATGAAGAAACTTTGCTGAATAAGTTAGGTTTGGACAGTGTCTTTAAGCAAAATTCTTCTCATCACAGATTCCTCAAAATTATCATATCTGCTCAGTTTCATATCCAAACAAAGTAATTTTCTAAAGAAGTAATAGATTTTTTAATAATCTGATTACTTTACAAAATTATTTTGTTTATGTTTAGGTACGAAACTGAGCCACCAATATAATTTTGCTTACAGTGCTCAGATCATAAAATATTTCCTTTCTTTTATGTCAGTAGACAGAAAATAGTATTGACATAAAAAAAAATTATTCACTGATTGAAACTTGGATTTGAGAAAGAGATAATGATTATTGAAGATTTTTTTTTTTTTTTTTTTTTTTTTTTTTTAAATAACATTAAAAAAAAATTAAGATTAATGTTACCTATCAAGGAAATAGAAAAAGAAACAACACACTACACAAACTATATTTGATTCTGGTTGATATAGCCAAGAATTACTATCAAAACAGACGAAGCAGGCAATGTTTGGCAGTTAAGTGATACAAATAATGTTAGATTCTGTAGACTGCATCACCAGGCCTACAGCTTCTAATTATAGTTTGTATTTCCCATCATTTGTCATTACTGCTGCTGCAGCATCTACTAGTTGGGCACCCTTAGCTGGCTGGTTCCCTTGGCACACCATTTTCCCTTGAATAAATCATATAAACTTTGCTTCACCTATCTCGCTTTCTCTATTGCTAGCTAAAACTAACTCATTTTGTTTGTTGTACATTTAATAATATCATGCAATATCTAGTTTTCTTTCTCATTAGACAAATGCTGTGTGTATTTTAAACAGAATTACAAGATATAAAAGGCTTGTTTTATTAGGTATCTATTTTTAAATTATAAATTTAGCTTTTTATTTACTGCAAATTTCAAGGGGGCAAAAAATATGGTAGCCATTTTAGGTTTGTTTAGAAGGGATGAGGAGGCAAGAATTTCAGTTTCTTTTAATGAAGTCTTTTAGGCTGGAATTATGCCTTTTCTTGAGTAAAGGAACCAATGGATGCCAGAGCTGGAATTTATGGGTTCCATTTGCCATATATGTGCTACTTATTTTTGGTTTGGTTGTCAAGGAAAGATTGCTGATTTCTGGTTGTAATAATTGGTGATAACTTCTATGATTTTGAAAAGAATCATGATATTAATTGTTTAGGAGTTTAAGAATTTTTTTTCTTCTCTTTAGTGATTTTTGGCTGATCCAGTCTGTGGGCTTCAAGTATAGAATCTACATGAACTTTGCAAGATATCTTCATGCTATGAACCAGAAACTATTAATAAATAAAAGAACTGATAGCAATATATACTGATCAGATGAAACTATTCTTGTTAACACATGGGAGCTGTGTTTTTTATTTTTCATTTATTTTAGGTTGTAGAAAGTTATAATGAAATGCTCATATGAACCTTATTCTTGTTAACTTAGATAACAGACAATTCCATATATTTATATTCTGCTAATCAAAAATCTTGTTGAAACACTGGTTTCCACATGATTCCCAAAGTTAAGCAACATTAAGCTAGGTCAGTACCTAAATGGGTGACTGCTTGGGAATATCAGGTGCTGTAAGCTTAGATATGTGGGTTGTGTAATGGATAATGGCTTGGAATTGTTAACCAGAGAGCTGAGTTCCAATTCAAATTAAGTTGGTTATGCATGAATACCTTTGGGGGAAAAGTATGGATCCATCTCTTCTCCTCCCTCAGCTATGGATTAATCAGTAAAACTTTCATCACTAAATCATTATCCCCCCCCAAATCTTACAACTTGAAAACTTCTGGCTTTAAATAACCTGTAATGTTGATAAGCTGTAGAAAACGAATCAATCTAGTGATCTGACTTGTATATTATTAGCTGAATTTTGATTTTTAATTGTATGTTTGATCTCTAAGATTCATGTTTACTACTGAATGAAGTGCATTGACAAAGGAGATTATGTTTAAAGACATTTTTTGTGTAAAATAAATGCCTTTTTTTTCATCATTTGGCTGCAGACTTATTGATGTATCTTCTCTAGAAAGATTTAGATATTTGGTTGGTTGGTATAAATTGAACTGTGTATGTATATATATGTGTGTGTGTGTGTGTGTATATATATATATATATATATATATATACACACACACTCAGGGTTTTGTGGTTCAAGAATTTCCATTCTTACACTGATGTATGTAGGTAAATATTTTAAATTATTTGAAGACCAACAGTTACTTGCAATAACAGGAATTAATAGCATTTTTTCAATGATCTACATTCATTATTTACTTAAGTATTTTGTTTTTTTTTTTTTTTTTTTTTTTTGATTGGTTTTATTTTAAATTATCATCAGTCAGCATATGCAAATGTGGATCAATTAGTTCAGTAAAACTGGATTTTGATCTGAAACTTTCATTTTATGATGTTTGTTCTATGTAAGTAATAGAGAAACATTTGGGTTAAGTACATTGAAAAGAAAGTTGTAAATGAAATTCCTTTTTATCATTAGGCTATGTACTTATGCAGGCTTTCATTAATACTGTCATTATTGCCAAAATTATCTAAATCTATTGTGTGGTATTCTTCAATACCCCGTTTGGACAATAGTGTATCTTAGATTAAATTATATGTTTTTCAAATGGTGGATTTTGCAAATTAAGACAATATGGTTTGATTAGAGGCACAAGTGTTTTTTATATATATATATATATATATATATATATATGTACGAGGGTCATTCAATAAATAAGGTGAATTTTTCGGTATAAGGACTTCTAATACAGATAGAAGCTTACTTTTTTTTTATTTTTCAATGTAGTCTCCCAGCAGTCACTCGATTTTCCCATCTGATCACATGCTTCCATATTCCATCAGCGTAAAAATCTTTGCACTGATGTCTCAGCCAGTCGCTCACAACACTTTTGACTTCATCATCACTTTTAAACGTCGTGCCTCTCGTGAATGCTTTCAAAGGACCAAACAGGTGAAAGTCTGAAGGGGCAAGGTCTGGGCTGTAAGGAGGGAGCAGTTCCCAGCCCAGCTTGTTGATGGTCTGCACCATTTGGGCTGCTGTGTGAGGCCTTGCTTTGTCATGATGCAAGATGACTCCTTCTGACTGATGACCCCTGCATTTGTCCTTTGTCTTTCTTGACCTGCCTCAGCAGTTCACAGTAGTTCTTCTGTCAGACTGAATGAGGACATTGACTGATTCGATCACCTCACGAGACCTCACTTTTGTAGGCCTCCTAGGCCTGTCTTCATCCTCAACACTGCTCCGTCCTTCTTTAGACAATTTAGCCCACTTGTAGACATTTTTTTGGCTGAAACATGTGGCACCATACACAGTTGACATTCTCCTACGAATTTCAACTGGTTTGCACTCTTCAGCAACCAAAAACTTGATAACTGACCGCTGTTCAATCTTGGTCGGCCATCTTTGTTAATCTGCAAAAGAAATTAAATCCATGTGAAAAAGAAGTAAAACAAAAAAGAAAAAGTAAGCTTCTATCTGTATTAGAAGTCCTTATACCAAAAATTCACCTTATTTATTGAATGACCCTCGTGTGTGTGTGTGTGTGTGCGCGCGCGTGTAAGTGTATATATATATATATATATATATATATATATATAATTTATTATTATTATTATTATTCATACATAGTCTAATGTTAAATTGCCTCTGGATGAGTATTGTAATAATAATAAAAAAAAAAAAAGTACAGTCAGTTTTATTACTTGAAATATATATTTTATTGGTACAAAGTTAATCCCAAAAAGTATGGACTTATTACACTTATTAGGTGATTATTACACTTGGTGTGAACTAAGTGTTAACACTTAGATTTAAAAAGTAACTGTTGAAAATAAGAACATAACCAGATATTACAATAGTAGATTTCTTTTTCAAGAGAAGGAATAAATTACAAGCCAAATATGTTGGTGCATTGTTTCTATGGTTTCAATAATTCTTCTTTTTAACTTTCTTTATTGATGTTTTGTGTCTTTTTGGTATTATAAGAAATATGTGACTGTATTTGCCCTGTCCTCTTTAAATTGACTATTTGTGTGTGTATAGTTAGATACATACACCAGAGTTGCTTAAATTAACAATAGTCTTTTTGTCACTTAAAGAAAATGAAGTCTTTGTATTTGACAGAAAAAAAAAATTAATTAGAATTTTTGGGATTTGAGTTTAGTTAATTTTATGCCCTTTATTTTTTACTCTCTATTTATTTTATATTGTGGAAATATAATGATTATATGAACCTTCACTATCCAAGTCATATAAAATTTTTTATTTAGATTTAAATACATTTTTTTTTTTTTTTTCCTTTTTAGCCATAAACATGTTCCAGTATGTCTACTTTTGGCCAAAATAAATTACTTCTGTAAATAATACTGTATTTATGTTACTTTTGTAAATGCATGTGAAAATAATCTTTAACTTCTTTGTTAGTTATTCTGCTTAAGAAACTTAAGATTTTTTTTTTTAGAAATGCATCAAGAGCCACATCAACAAGTTTGTAGTCCAATAACGAAAGATGCATTTAAGTAGGTACATCAACAAGTCTAGGCCAATGACGAAAAAGGCACTTATGTAGGTACATCAAATCTGTATGCCATTGACAAAAAAGTATTTGTCGTTTTTTATTTTACATTTAATTTCAGCATAATTTCCTTTCTTGTTAGTACACTTAATTCAGTGGTGAATATTAGTTAGTTACATTTTGAGTGTGTAGCACCATTTGGTAGTGCCTGAAAACAATTGTATATCACAGGTTGACCCAAACCTTTTGAAAAAAATTAGAGAAATGTTCAAAAGCCATTGATGGTTGTATAAGCATGAAGATACAAGCCTTCAATATACTAGCCTTTTGTCATGAATTTAGGGACATAGTAATTGTGACTTATTGTGACTTCAAACCCTGCAGGCTCAGTGGAAACAGGGTAAGCAATAACTGAGCAGTAGAAAAATAAGTAAAAGATAAAACATCTCTAGAGATGGACAGTAAAATTACAACAATCTACCAATATAGATTGAATAAAGAGGTCAGTTTACAATTCTTTGAAGGTTACTCAGATACACAAGCACTTGAAAGAGAGCATATCAGCTGAAATAATAACTATAAAGATGAGGACAATAGTTCAAATGTAAATAATATTCTTACTAACCTTTATTCAACTGCTGATCATTCCAGGTGATGAGATCTCCAAGAAATTGTAACTATGGTCTGCTAAGCATAGTTGTAATATAAACAACAGTTTGGCTCTATGGTTGTTGAAAAAACACAAATGTTCCTGTACAGGCACCTGTAATGGGGATTAGCAGCCATCCTAGTAGACTACATAGTCTCTCTGATGGATGCCTACTAATAGACTGAATATTATTTGGTGTCAATTCCAAAATCAAAATTCAGCTAATAACTATGTCTGGCTATGAACATATTGATCAACTCTTGTAGACTTCTAGTTTCATTTTGAATCATACAAGTAAATGTTGTTTTTTGTTTTTTAAATAGATCAATATTTAATTAAAATATATATATATATATATACACACTTAACAAAGGGCAGCCAACTTTTTTGCTCTGTCTAGATAATCTGAGCATTGACCACTTACCAAGTAGTTAGGTGTTTACCTTTTGGGACTTTTTTCTTGTTAGGTTTTCTGGCAAGATGTCTGTTGGTCACAGCAACATAGTTTTTGTTTAGTATATATAATTTGTACCTCCTTCATCCACCTGGATCTTAATTTTAATGACACTTCAAATGGGAGTAAAATAACATTTAACAATTTTCAAGATTGGCATATGCTCATAATTGTAATTATTCAAGTATTTATTGCTGGTTTTATGAAAGAAATTCATAAAATTTCTTATATTTTATTAATAAAAATGTGTACATCAAATTTAAAAAAAATAATTATATGAATATATTTATATTAATTTTAGAAAACTGTAGTAGTTAGTAGGTGGGTTGCTGAAAAGTTCTTGACCTAATTCACATGAGAAAATCTGACCAAATATTGGATTTTAGTTTTCTTTTGAGTCTCTTCTTGGTTGGGCCAAGAGCTTTTCAGCCCTCACTTGATTAATGTGAATTGTCATGACTGAAAATAAGTGAAGCAGCAGTTTATTATTTCCTGGGCAAAAAAGTTATGGAAGGAGCTAATTGCTTGTACTTAGCTCTGTGTTCCTTCATAGCATAACAAAATTATAAATAGTGACTTACATTGGTACAGGGAGGGTAGATTTCATACTCTTTTTAATAGCATTATCATAAGTTAAATGAGCTGTTATGAATATTAATTTGTTTACATTTGAAAATTGTTACATGCACACATACCTCAGGGAGGTGTTGAAAAATTCTTGGCCAACCAGTCTCACTTCTCAAAATTAATATTTCAGTGATCAAACATCAGGTTTTTTTTTTTTTTTTTTTCTTCAAATAATTCTACCAAGTGTGTTGAAGTTCTGGGTTACTATGTGGAATAGCAAGTGCTTTTGATAGCTAGGTAATTCTTCTTTGTCAGGTGAGGCAAGGGATCAAAACCTTTTCAGCAGTCCCTCATATATGTACGCACAGTTCTTGACA